CTGGGTCTGGGTGACACCGCTCTCTCCTGGTTTTTCTCTTACTAGCCTGACCATTCCTTTTCAATCTCCCTGGCTGGGTATTTATCCAGGCCATGCCTGTTAATGGTGGTGAGAGTCCCCTAAGGCTCCGTCCTCGACTGAACTCATTATCTTTCCCCCCAAATCCTCTCTTTTTCTTATCTTTCCTATTAGCCTAGAAGACACCATCCTGCCGATCCCCCAGGTTCCCAACCTGGGGGCCATTCTCAAGCCCTCGCCATCCCTCATCTATCCCTTTCTAAGACCTGCTGATTTACAGCTCTGTCGTAGGCCCCCTTCTCTCATCTGACTCTGCCCCTAGCCTGGCACAGACCCTCATCACTGACTGCCCGGGCTATTGGACTACCTGCCTACCAGGCCTCTCCCCATCTGATCCATCCTCTGCCCAGCTGCCTGACACCTTCTGGATGCTCTGGTTTGATCATGCCCGCCCCTATTCAATCGTCCTCAGTGGCTCCCCCATCCCCTCTAAGATCAAACAGAAAACCTCTGGGTTGTAGCTGCCTCTTTCCCCCTTTCCAGTCTTCTTCCTCCATCCCTCCTGGTGTGTATACTGGGATGGAGTGAGGCTGGCCTGTGGCTGTTCCTCACACAGACTCTGGACATTTTCCCCGGCCTCCCCCAGGCCTAGATCCTTTCCTCTCCCTCCTCATCTCGGCCTCCCCAGCATCCTTCAGGGGCCAGCTAAAATTCCACCTTCTCCAAGAAGCCTTTGCCCAGCCCCTCTTCCTGCTGGGGCCTCCCCTCCATAGATTAGCTACAAATGACCATCCTCGGCTGGCCTCTTATTGACCCCCCACTAGACTGGAAGCAGCAGGAGGGCAGGCAGAGAGGAATGACAGATAGTGCAGCAAAGGCAGGGAGTTCAGTCCCAGAATTACGGCAGTGTCTGAGGAAGAGCTCGCTGACGTTCACCTGGAGCCATGGTCACCCAGACTGCTTCTGTTAATTTTGTTGTTGATATGATCAATGATGCTGATAGTTTTCCTAATATCGAACCAGCCCTGCATTCCTGGTATAAATCCTAACTGGTCATAGTGTATTATTCTCATCATGATAAGTTGTTGTAATCTCTTTGCTAATATTTTATTGAAAAATTTTGCATCTATACTCATTACGGAAATTGGTCTATAATTTTTTTTCTGTTTTGACTCTTCCCAGTTTAGGTATCAGTAGTACCATATTTGTATAATAAAAAGAATTTGGTAAGACTCCTTCTTCACCTATTTTCCCAAATAGTCTATATAGTATTGGAATTAATTGTTCTTTAAATGTTTGATAGAATTTGCTTGTAAATCCATCTGGCTGTGGAGATTTTTTCCTAGGGAGTTCATTGATGGCTTGTTCAATTTCTTTTTCTGAGATGGGGCTATTTAAGTATTTTACTTCTCTTCTGTTAATCTGGGCAATTTATATTTTTGTAAATATGTATCCATTTCACTAAGATTCAAATTTTTGGCATAGTTGGGCAAAATAGCTCTTAATTATTGTTTTAATTTTTTCATTGGTGATGGATTCACACTTTTCATTTTTGATACTGGTAATTTGTTTTTCTTCTTTCTTTTTTTAAATTAAATTAACCAAAGGTTTATCTATTTTATTGGTTTTTTCATAAAACCAGCTCTTAGTTTTATTTATTAGTTCAATAGTTTTCTTAATTTCAGTTTTATTGCTCTCTCCTTTGGTTTTATTTCTAATTCGGTACTTGAGGATTTTTAATTTGTTCTTTTTCTAGTTTTTTTAGTTGCATGCCCAATTCATTGATCTTCTCTTTCTCTATTTTATTCATGTAAGCATTTAGAGATATAAAACTTCCCCTAAGAACTGCTTTCGCTGCATCCCATAAATTTTGGTGTGTTGTCTCATTATTGTCATTCTCTTGAATGAAGTTATTGATTGTTTCTATTATTCACTGTTTGACCCATTCATTCTTTAGGATTAGATTAGTTTCCAATTATTTTTTAGTTTATCTTTCCATGGCCCTCTTTTACATATAATTTTTATTGCATCATGATCTGAAAGGAATGCATATTTCTGCCTTTCTGCATTGGATTGTGAGGTTTTTATGCCCTACTACATGGTCAATTTTTGTTTGGGGGCCATGTATTGCCAATGAAAAGGTATGTGCCTTTCTATCCCCATTCAATTTTCTCCAGAGGTCTACCATTCCTAACTTTTCTCATATTCTATTCATCTCCTTAACTTCTTTCTTGTTTATTTTGTGGTTAGATTTATCTAGTTCATAGAGAGGAGGTTTAGGTCTCCCATTAGTATAGTTTTGCTGTCCATTTCTTCCCGTAACTCCCTGAACTCCTCTAAGAATTTGGATGCCATACCATTTGGTGGGTATATGTTTTGTAATGATATTGTTTCATTGGCTATGGTGCCTTTTAGCAGGATGTAGTTTCCTTCCTTATCTCTTTTAATAAAATCTATTTTTGCTTTTGCTTTGTCTGAGATCAGCATTGCTACCCCAGCTTTTTTTACTTCAACTGAAGCATAATATATTCTACTCCAGCCTTTTACCTTTACCCTGTGTGTGTCCCTTTGTTTCAAATGTGTTTATTGTAAACAACAATTGTAGGATTATGATTTTTAATGCATTCTGCTATCTGCTATCTGTTTTATGGGAGAATTCATCCCGTTCACATTCACAGTTATGATTACTATCTGTGTCTTTCTCTCCATCCTATTTCCTCCCATTTATGCTTTTCTTTCTCCTTTCTCCTTTTCCCTCCTTACTAGTGTTTTTGCTTTGGACCACCACCTCCCTCAGTCCTGCCTCCCTTCTATTAGCCCCTTCCCTTGTCTTCCCCTTTACACTTGCTACTTCTTCCCTTCTTTCTATCCCCCCTCCCTTTTCTTTCCCCTTTTCCCTCCTACTGCCTATAGGGCAAGTTAGATTTCTAGACCTAACTGATTATGTTATTCCCTCCTTGAGCCAAATCTGATGAGAGTAAAGTTCAAACAATGCTCATCCCCCTTCCTTCTTTCCGTCTGCTGTAATAGGTTTTTGTGCCTTTTCCTGTAACGTACATTACATTACCCTCGTCTGCCTCCTTCTCTCCTTTTCTCCCAGTACAATCCCTTACTTAGATTCATTTAACCCACTTAAGATTTTTTTTTATCATTACATCAAACTTATACCCACCCCCCTCTATGTATACCCCTTTAACAAGGTGTAATAACAATACAGTTCTCAAGAATTACAAGTGTGATCTTCCCTTGTAGAGATGTAAACAGTTTGCCCTTATTAATAACATGTTTCTTTCTGTCCCATTTACCTTTTTATAAAAGTCTCTCTTGAATCTTGTATTTGAAGATCAAATTTCCTGTTGAGCTCTGGTCTTTTTATCAGGAAGGTTTGGAAGTCCCCTATTTTGTTGAATATCGATCTCCTCCCTGAAAGATCATGCTCATTTTCGCTGGGTAGTTGATCCTTGGTTGTAATCCTAGCTCCTTTACCTTATGGAATACTGTATTCCACACCCTGTAATCTTTTAATACAGAAGCTACAAGGTCCTGGGTAATCCTGACTGTGGTTCCATGATATTTAAATTGTTTCTTTCTGGCTGTTTGTGTAATACAGAACATTATTTTGCCATTTAGGTAGTAGGGCCCTTTAAGCCATGGAAAGCAAAAGTTGGTGCTTAATCTTGCCCCAGACCTCTTTTCTCCTAAATCTAAACAACAGTGAAATGTACTCTTGCATAGCTCAGCATAGCCCGTACCTCCAACGCAAATGGATAAGAAAGCTTGCAATATAATTGCTTTAGATAATTATGTTTATACCAGAGACCAGGACACCTGGTCTGGTTTGTGTGATCTCTGACCGGTAATAATGGGGTGCTCGGGTGCTTATGCTTGTACTTGTGCCCCAATTTCTCCCTAGTCTCAGAAACACTGTCTCTGACAACCACTCCCCAGCCCAAGGACACTGTGCCTAGCAGTTATTCATGCATGGGCCTCAGCATGACCCTTATGTCTCTCCCTGGTACAGCTACACAGAGCTGGGCTGCTCAGGCCCCAGCCCTCAGATCATGTCTCTGGAAGCCTCCCAATTCCTTAATAAGTTCCTGTGTGGTGAGAAAGCTTTCCCTTGTTGCAGAGCATTCTCTCATCAAGACAGGCAGAGGGAGAGGGGTGTCCTTGGCCAGCCCAAGAACTCTTCCTCTTGCCAGACTTCAAAGATCCATCCCCCTCCTGTCCTGTATACTCCCTGTACTTTCCCATCCATAGCCCCCAAAGACACCTGCATCTTTGGATTAACTCATCAGTGCTCCTCGCATTTCTTTCCCATGCTCTTTTCTGTATAAACCCTAGCTCGACCCCTGATGGGGGCTGCTTGATTTGGATGTGCATACCCCTGGCAGCCGCACGCTAATAAGTCCACATCTTAAATTACGTCTGGATCTCACTTGCTGATTTCTCGGTACAACATTTGCGGTATTTTCTCTTTGACCTGGCAATTTTGGAATTTGGCTACTATATTCCTTGGCATTTTCCATTTGGGATCTCTTTCTGGAGGTGATCAATGGATTCTTCCTATGGATATTTTACCCTCCCCACCCAGACTTTGCCTGGAGGCCTCCTCTAGTGACTCGGCCCTTTGAGCCTCTGGACAGTCCCTCCATTTGACAGAGGTACTGGGGAGATTTGCCATTTCCTTCTCCAGCTCATTTTGCAGATAAAGAAACCGAGGCAGACAGGATGAAGTGACTTGCCCAGGGTCACACAGCTAGTGAGTGTCTGAAGCCGGATTTGCACTGGTCTTCTATCCACCCAGTTGCCCTCGAGGATTGCGGTGGCCAGCACTTGCCCCACCAGGCCTTGTGCTAAGCACTCTACAGAAGTCACCTCATTCAATCCTCACAAGGGCGCCGGAGGGTAGGCGCTGTTATTACTGCTACATGTTATATTACATATTGTTACTAATCTAGTATTACTATGATTATTTACAGATGAGGACGCTAGACCCAGAGGAATCTTGGAGACCCCTCATGTTATAGTTGAGGAAACTGAGGTCCAGGAAGGTGTGACCTGCCCAAGGCCTAAGCAGGATTTGAACCCAGGTCCTGTGCTTTAGAAACTCACTGGAGGAATGGCCCTGGGCAAGTCATTTCCCCTGGAGCCCGAGTTCCCCACCAGGTATACGCCCCGCCCAGGGTGATTTGCTAGCGTCGGCTGTATTATGCAGCTTCTCCCTTCCGCTTCCTGCTCCCCCTCTTCTTCCTCATTCCCGCCTCTTCCTCCCCATCCTCGCCTCTTCCTCCCCATCCTGCTACCTCCCCCTTGCCCCGTCCCCTCCCCCCGACTCTTCCGGCCCCCTCGAGGCCCCGCCCCTGCGCGCCCCTCTCCGGGGCAGGAGGGAGGAAGAGAAGACTCGAAAAGGAGGGGGCCAGAGGAGCGAGCGGATGGAGGGGGCTGGGGGCGGGGCCTGAGGAGCGCCGGCGGGAACCGCGGCGTCTTGCGGGGGCGGAGCCTCGAGGGGGCGGGCCCCGGGGTGGTGCTGGGGGAGGCCCTCGGGGGCGGGGCCGCCATTGGCGGAGCCGCGAGGGGCGGGACCCTCGGAGGGGCGGGGCCTCGAGGGGGCGGAGCCGGGCCCGGGCAGAGTCCGAGCCGGAGCCGGAGCCGGAGCCGGAGCCGGAGCCGGAGCCGGAGCCGGAGCCGGAGCCGGAGCCGGGCCTGAGCCGGGGCCGGGCGGAAGATGTGGTTCTTCGCCCGGGACCCGATCCGAGACTTCCCGTACGAGCTGAGCCCGGAGTCCCCCGAGGGCGGCGGCGCGCCGGGGCCGGGGCTGTGGGCGCTGCACCGCGGCAAGAAGAAGGTGACGGACCGGGGCCGGGGAGCAGGCCGCGCTGGCTGGAGCCCGGGCGGCCGGAGCAGGCCGGCCCCGCCCCCGGCCCTGCCGGCCTGACGTGGCCCCCGCGGCCCTTGGCAGCCCTGGGGGGAGGGCCCTCCGGGAGTCCCGGGGGCCAGAGACCCTGCTCCCCGCCCAGCGGAGCCCCCACGTGTCCAGGGGCGAGGGAGGGGGGCGGGGAACCCCCAAGCTCCCTTCCCCCCACCAGCCCGCGCTTCCCCGCAGGCCACGGGAAATGCCGTGTCCGTGTTCGTGTACGAGGCCAAGCCCGGGGAGGAGGAGCAGACGCTGGTGGCCAAGGCAGCCTTCAAGCGGCTCAAAACCCTGCGGCACCCCAACATCCTGGCCTATCTCGATGGGCTGGAGGTAGGCCGGCCGGGGCGCCCCCCCCCAGGATCTCTCGGACCACAAGCTCTTCCTCGGTCCTTCCCTCCGTTTCCCCTTTAGCCCTTACTCTCCTGTTTTTTTTCTCTGCCCCCCCAGGTGAACGTCTTCCCTTCTCTTCCCGTAAGATCACAGGGACTTTGGAGATTCGCTAGTCTTAACCTCCTCATTTACAGATGAGGAAACTGAGGCCCAGAGAGGGGAAGGGGCCTGTTCAAGGTCACAGGAGTGGGGGCAGAACCCGGATTTGAACCTTGCCCCCTTTCCTTGTGTCCCTCCTCTCCCTTTGTCTTTAAGACCTCCCCTCCCCCCAGTAATCTCCACATGGCCTTGCTCAGGCCTTCCTCAGTCCCAGAGCCAGTCTAGTCAGTCATTTTCTCCCTCTTGTCGCAAATCACTTAGCTCCCCCACCTTCACCTGCCTTGTCTCTTAACTTCCCCTCTATCTCAGCCCAGGGATCTGTGTTCCCGGGCCTGTACTGACCTACGTCTCGGTCCTTCTCCCAGACAGACAAATGCCTTCATGTGGTGACTGAGCCTGTGACCCCACTAGGGAACTACCTGAAGTTGAAAGCAGAAACAGGGGGCCTGAGTGAGCTGGAGATCTCCTGGGGGCTGCATCAGATTGTGGTGAGAACTGGATGCTCGCATTCCCCACAGCTTGCTCTTCGGGGGTGGTGCGGGCGGGATGCTGCCAGCCTCCCAAGCTGTGCCCCCAGCCTGACCTCATCCCCACAGAAAGCCCTGAGCTTCCTGGTCAATGACTGCAGCCTCATTCACAACAATGTGTGTACGGCGGCTGTCTTTGTGGACCGAGCTGGGGAGTGGAAGCTGGGGGGCCTCGATTACATGTACTCGGCCCAGGGGGACAGCGGCGAGCCCCCCTGCAAGGGAATCCCCGACCTGGAACGCTACGACCCACCTGAGATGACAGACAGCAGCAGCAAAAGCGTGGGGGAGAAGTGGTGAGCGTGGGGGATTGGGTGGGCAGGATGGCCAAGCCCCTCATGGAATGAGACCTTGGCAGCGAGGAATGGGAGAGCAGAGTACTGACCCTGCTCCTCCCTCCACCATCCACCTTCTCCTCCCTGGCCTCAGGAAAGGGGAGGGAGATCTAGGGAGCCCTGATGCCCCTCTCAGCATGATCAGGCCCAGGAGGGCCACTGAATCCCCTCCTTGGGTCAACACAGGTCAGCCGACATGTGGAGACTGGGCTGTCTGATCTGGGAGGTGTTCAACGGCCCCCTGACCCGGGCCTCCTCCCTGCGCTCCCTGGGGAAGGTGAGTCTCTGGGATCTGGTTCCCCACGGCCTGCAGGATGCCCCCTCGTTTCTTGGCCTTGCCTTACTCCCTTCGGCCACATGCCCCTCTCCCTTCTCTGGTCGTCCTGGCCCTCCTGCCTCCTGCCTCATTCAGCCCCTCATCCTCCCTGGCCCACTGAGGCCCCTCTCATGCCTACCTTTCTTCCAGATTCCAAAGTCTCTGGTTCCCCATTACTGCGAGTTGGTGGGGGCCAACCCCAGGGTGCGTCCCAATCCATCCCGCTTCCTGCAGAACTGCCGGGCCCCCGGCGGGTTCATGTGCAACAGCTTTGTGGAGACCAACCTCTTCCTTGAGGAGATCCAGGTGAGTACAGCAGGAGAGAGCTGCCCCTGAGAACAAGGGCACTGTTGGACTGCCTTGGGCCTTGCTTGTCCCTTGTGCTCCGTCCGCCTGGGGCCGTGTTACTCTTGTGAATTTCTTCTTTCTGTGTCCTTTGTAAGGCTGGGGAAATGTTGTACGCGTGCACGCACGCACGCATGCACACATACCGGTTCCCCTCACTATAAATGTTTTTTCCTGGCTGGCTGGTTAAGACTAGCGAATCTCCAAAGTCCCTGTGATCTTATGGGAAGAGAAAGGAAGACGTTCACCTGGGGGGGCAGAGAAAGAACAGGAGAGTAAGGGCTAAAGGGGAAACGGAAGGAAGGACAGAGGAGGAGCTTGCGGTCCAAGAGATCCTGGGGGGGGCGCGCCCCGGCCAGCCTACCTCCAGCCCATCGAGATAGGCCAGGATGTTGGGGTACCGCAGGGTTTTGAGCTGCCAGCTCAGGAAAAATGTAATCTCCACTCAGTAGAGGAGCAGGGACTGGGGGTGTGGAATGTGGCAAAAGCCATCAGCTTTGTGTTTTTGATTCCAAAGGAATTCAGCGTGGGGTATGTTGAGAAATGATGTGTGTTGGGCTTTATTTAAGTTACCCATTTTTAAAAGCGGCACAGAAATGTCCAAGAACACACAAGAGCAACAAAGCCTCTCCCGAGACACTTAGCCTCTTATGGGGTCGTGGCTAGTTTAGAAACGAAATCAGGAAGGACGTCCTCACAGCCCTTGGGCATCAGGTGGAAAGGGGCCTGGCCCAGGAGGCCAGACCTAGATTCCAACCCCAGCCTGACACCCACTAACTGCAGTGCTCTGGGTAACCCAGGAATCTGAGCCTCAGTTTCTTCATCTGTAAAGGGAAGGGGCTGGACTGGGTGCCCTCCAAGGGCCCCTCTAAGCTCCTTCTATTCTCTTGGACCCTTGGGCTTTGTTTTTGTGGACTGATCTGAGCACTGGAGCAGGAGTCAGGAAGACCCCAGTTCAAATCCAGCCCCATTGTGTGATCCCTGGGCAAGTCACTTAACCTCTTGTTGGCTGAGTTTACTCAACTGTAAAATGAGGATAATAACAGTATCTGTGCTGGGTTGTTGTGAGGATGAAGTGGGGTAACGATTGTCAGGCGTTTACTGGCACACAGTAGGTGCTGTATAGAAATGCTGATTCCCTCCCCCCTATCTGTACTCCCTGCCTGTCCTTAGAGGGGGGAGCTAGGGGTCAGGACGGTGTGATGGGCAGCACTGGGGACGTGGTCACTAGAGTTTGCCAAGTGTGAGCAGATGCCCAGCTCGCTCATTTTACAGAAGAGGAGACTGAGGTCCAGGAAGGGGAAATGATTTATCCAAGGTTACACAGGATTTGAACCCAGATCCCTTTGCTCCAAGTGCAGCAGGCTTTCTACTGCCCGGCTATGGTTTTGAGAGCTCATTCGTGGTTCAGCGTCGCTTTGGAAGGAGTTCTGGAGGGGAGTACCCCAGGGATCTGTGCTAGGCCCTGTGAAGTTTGACATTTCAGCCAGAGTCTTGGATAAAAGCGTAGAGGCCATGCAGCAAGATCCACATTCCAAAGGTTCTTAACAGAACTTTTGTCCCAGAGGCCTGGGACAAATTGAGGAAGATAAATTTTTTTTTTGTTTGCTTTTTTGGTGAGCAGTTGGGGTTAAGTGATTTGCCCAGGGTCACACAGCTAGTGAATGTCAAGTGTCTGAGACTGGATTTGAACTCAGGTCCTCCTGACTCCAGGGCCGGTGCTCTAGCCACTGCACCACCCAGCTGCCCCCAGAAGACAGAATTTTTAAAAAAGTTTTATAAATTGCTTTTTGTTTTTGATACTGCTATCATTTCCCGATACCCAACATTCCCTCCCCCACGCCCTTCCCTATACCACCGAAAAAGAGAAGCAAAAGCAACTGAGTGCCAGTGATGTATGCACCATTCTGTATCTGTAGTCCCCACCTCCAGCTCTAGGGGAGAAGGGGGTGTTTCAGCATCTGGGAGTGGCTGGTTTTTGGTTGGCTACTTTCACCTTGCGTTACTATCATCTTTCTTTGTCCGAGTCTTCCCAGGTTTCTCTGAATTTTGTATATTTATCTCTTCTTGCAGCACCATGATATCGCACTACCTGGCTGATAGGCAGAGGCAGATTAGAACATTAGACATAGGATCCAGAAGACCGGAATGCAAATCTGGCCTCACTAGCTGTGTGACTCTGGGCAAGTCACTTAACCCCAATTGCCTCCCCAAGAAACAAACAAACAAATCTGACCTAAGGCACTTTAGAGCTTGGTGACCTGGGGCAAGTCACTTCACCTTTGTCTGCTTCCTCAATTTCCTCATCT